TATGCACTTTTTTACAATTTTTAAAATTTTATATTATATTTTTCAGTGTTAAGTGGTTGTATTTGGGGGCCTGGAACGGATTAATCCTATAACGAACGAATGCTATAACGAACAAGGTTCTAGAACCAATTAGATTCGTTATAGCATACCCCACTGTACAGTGATCCCTCGGTTAACGAGATTTCGGTTAACGAGTTACCTTCCATAAGATTCTCAACTTCGGTTAACGAACAATCCCTCGGTTAACGAGTTTCTTACGAGCCGACCTCAACAAGTTTTCGCTTGCACTTGGTGGTCAACCAGCTGTAGTATTAGTCCGCCAATACAGTAATCGGTTCTAGGGCTTAAATTCCTTACTATTTTAGTAAATATCAAGAAGTTTATACTATTCAATAATTTTAAAAGTATATATTAATTTTTTTAGTCATTTTAACAATTATTGAACATAATTGAAGGTAAAGTGACTAGTTTTATGCACGTCACCCAGCCTCTTAACACAGCAAACAAGCGTTAGTCTCTCTCTGTTTTCAGTGGAGGTAACATCTTGCTTGAGACTCGCTTCAACTAAATGCTTTTCTTCTGTGTTTCCAAGCAAATTATTGGTCATTTTGAAATTTATTTTACATATTGACAATATACAGTGACCCCTCCGTTAACGAACTCAATCCGTTCCAGAAGGTCGTTCGTTAACCGAAACCATTGTTTCAATGGGTTTTTGGGTAATTGGTTCCAGCTCACCGAAAATTTCCTAAATTCAACAAAAATGGTAGAAAAGTTCACTTACTTTGAGGTGTGTATGTAGAAGGCTCCTGATGATGATGATGATGATGGGATTTAGAATGGGGGTGGAGGAGAAGGAAAAACAGAAGGCATTGGGGTGGAAGAGAAGTCACCCCATGGCGCCATTTCACCCATAAAATTTTAGCTCTCTTGGTGTAATTCAAGATTATTTTCTTTAAATCAACACTGCACTGCATTATATATTGTCAATATGTAAAATATATTTCAAAATGACCAATAATTTGCTTGGAAACACAGAAAAAAAGCGTTTAGTTGAAGAGAGTCTCAAGCAAGATGTTACCGCCAGTGAAAACAGAGAGAGACTAACTCCTGTTTGCTGTGTTAAGAGGCTGGATGCCGCGCATTAAACTAGTCACTTTACCTTCAATTATGTTCAATAATTGTTAAAATGACTAAAAAATTGAATATTAAACTTTTAAAATTATTGAATAGTATAAACTTCTTGATATTTACTAAAATAGTAAGGACATGTCTATGTCCTTTACTGTATAGTACCCGAATATGCAGTAATTGTAAGCACAGTTTAAGCTTTGAAATAGGAAGAACTTGGCCACCATTATTATATTTTCTTTTTGTTTTTATTATTTGATTTCATATATTTCAAATAGATTTCCTTCGAATTCCCCTAGATTTAGCATTTCCTTAAAAAGTTCTCTGTGAGCACCAAATTTCCTTGAAAGTTTCATCACTGAAACTCAGTCCATTGTGACGACCTTTTACCAATAATATGTATACAGTAGGGTCGGGATATAGTATAGCGACTTTATATAAAAAAAATTTTTTATCGCGGCCACCAAAATTGTCGACATTTTCCAAAATATAGCGATAATTTTTTTTATTTCGTGAAGGAAATCAGGCAGGAAATATTTAAAATTTATCACGACTACCAAAATTATCGACATTTTCAAATATACAGTGATAAACTTGTTTACAGTAGACTCACAACTTATGTGGGGTTATGTTCCTGGGACCTCACATAAAGCCAAAAACCGTATAAAGTCAGAAACACTCCTAAAAATCCCTAAATTGACCCAAAATTTTGAGTTGAAATACTGTACAGTACTCTAAAAAACTAAAAATGTTATCTCTTGTGCAAAATATATGATGTCCTTATTCAAATTCTTTGCTGTCTTGCAATGATTCCAGCAATGCCATTTATATTCTGCTAACTTTAGACTGTCAAGTTTAGTCACTTTTATTGACCTCTAGAACTTAACCCTATTTTCACCATTGATTACATGTAATTATATATAGCGATTTAGTATATAGCGAACATACTTGGACCCTATCTCGCGATATATCTCGACCCGACTGTATAACAAAGTATTGGCTATATCGGCCGAAATTTCACCAATACCAATGCTCCAAAAATCAGCAATACCACCGATACCAATATATCTGTAATCCTAATGCAACCTGAGGGCTAGACATTTGCTTTAGGGTGTTTAATTTTCAGGTGAATAAGCTGTGAATTAATCTTCATGTGTTCCCATTACTTCTTAGAAAGGAAGAAGCTATATACAGGACCGTCCTGCACCAAATGCAAAAGGTTATACAGTACACCCGGATAATTCACGGATTTTTATTTTGCGGTCCTTTATTATCTGCAGATGACACCCTGGAAGTATCCAGGAATGAATCAGGGTAGTTTTAAAGTTGCCAGCATATTTGCGGCCGGAACATATATACAATACAGGTGAAAGAAATAATTGTCCTTAGGGCAAACACATCAAGAGAATATACGTAATTTGGGAACTAATCTTTTTTTGCGCTTTATTCAAATGCCATGCCAGGACAAGTCATGGTACAGTATGTCTTTTTAATTTGTATTTTCATCGCCTTCGACACCAATCAGCTCATTAGTCGTTTGGGCGGTCAGTCACGTCTCTGTTATGCACTGTTGGCAAGTACTGGGCATGCACCGGCTCCTGAGTGTATCTAAACCTGCACCAGTGTTGGTAAAGGCTGGTCTTGAAGCAGGTCACACTCAATACCATCACAACACACTCTGGTAGAATGTTCCAAGAGTTCACAATTCTCACTCCAAAAAGTTTGCCCTCACAGTTTTCGGGACTTGTCATCTCATGTCATGTCCTGATATGACATTTGAATACGGTGCAAAAATAGTTTAGTTCCAAAATCACGTGAAATCTCCCACCCCTAATAAAAATGGTCCAGTATATAAACTTTTTAAGTTAGTTGCATGACGGTCCTGTATACTCGTATAGCTCAGTTTCTAAGAAAACTTATCTTTGAGGGTGCTTAAAACACTATACTGTATCTTATTTTGGTAAAATTTTCCTTGTTGCCACTATACGAAATCAAAGTTGAAACTATTTTATTCTGATAGTTTTGATGTGTTATGAACGAATTTCACCCTCATTTCTGGCGCAAATCAATAGTTTCTGAGATAATCCTCCCCTCTCATCTTAGAATCTAGAGATTTCCTTTAAAATTCAAGGTTAAAAGTGTTCAAAACACATAAAATTCCATCAGAAACACATCTGGTTAATATTCGTCCACTGGCTGCCCGCAGGTTTCCAATTTTCAATGTTACAGACACCAAGACTAAAAAAATCCAAATATACAACTTCATATCATTTCTGCAAATCAATATTAACGGAGTATCTCACAAATTTCTAGGAGTCACTTGTCTCCTCCTCCTCTTTGCGACATGACAACCAATGACCTTCCTGTATCGTGTCATGTGACTTGGCTGGCCAATCATTTTGAAGCAGCCTTCCACCGCGCAATTTCGAATTTTGAAGGCTCGTGATGGCGTGTGATAAGTGTTCCCTCCCTTATTTAACTGTTATTCAGCGAGTGTATGAGAACAACAGTGAAGTAATCCATATATTACAAGATAACGGTGTCCTACCAACATCAAGACTGTCCTACGTGTGGAAATTGTTTACGTTTAAGAAAAGACAAATTCTTTTGCCTGTACCCATAAGCTGTATCCTCCACCACAGTAGCAGATAAGCTAAAAAAAAAAAGTTAGGTTAGGTCAAGTTAAGTTAGTTAAGTTAAATTAGTTGGTTTGGTTAGGTTAGGTAAGGCTAAGTTTGATTTTTTGGGTGTTATATGGTGTGTTTTACTCAAACCTGACTGCCATTTTGGTGCAAATTAGCAATTTCTGTTACAAATTAATTATTTTTATTTTTAAACCGCTAATTTGCACGAAATGAAGGTCAGATTTGAGTAAAGCACACCATAATACACAAATAAAACCCATTTTTGTATTAAAACCTGAGGACAGCCAATGGACGAATATTTACCAAACGGCAAATTTTTACTTTAGGACATGAATCCCTAGAAGTTAACCAATATGTTTTTCCATTGTATTTTGGTGTGTTTTAAACAAATCAGACCTTCATTTTTGGCCCAAATTGATAGTTTTTGCCCCCCCCCCCACCAATAATAATGGGGGAGAGCCTGGGAAATCAGAGTTTTTGAGCGGGAGGGAGAAAAAAAAAAAAGAGTCATTTGACCTAACAAATCCTAACCCCTAGTTAGGGGCTCTGCACCCGGACCCCCAGTAGGCCTAACCTAAGCCCTAGCCGGGGGCTCTGCCCTCGGACCACCAGTAGGCCTAGCTTAAACTAACCTAAATACTTCAGTAGTTAAAAACTTTGGGGCGTGCCATGTCCGAAAGTACAATACCTTAGTTAGAAGTGGAAGAACCAGGGATATGTAAGAATTGGATAGAATGATCGTCTTTTTCGTAAAACTCGTCAATAAACATAAAATAATTATAGGAGCACAAACGACAACCAACCTCCACCACAGCCAATGTGAAGCTGGTCAATGAAATTAAAATCGTCCCCAGGCTGCTTCCTTTGAAAAAAAATCAAATGTGATTGGTCGAAAAATTACCTCATTGGTCACGACTGGATGATGGCAGTCAACATTGCACATGAGTGATGCGCCGATAACATCATCTCAGACGAAGACTGAAAAACTACTTACAATCAATTAAATTTAATTGTGTCGCTATTATCCATTTCCGCCATGTATTTATGGGGTTCAAAATGCTCAGAATAGCAAGATCTAAATCTAAATGTTTCAGTAGTTTATAACTTTCGGGGGCGCTTATGTCCGAAAGTAAATTAATACCAATTCCCGAGATTTGTTTACTGGCAACAAGTGAAATAATACCCTTATTTGTACTATATACTGTAGTATGTATAGTTAGTTACCTGTGGAATGTATTTGATAAGAGTGATGAAAAGCTTGACATAGGAGACGAAGTAGAGGAAATCCAACCACTGCACCGCCGCGGCAGAGCTCACGATGACCATCACCAGTGAAAGTAATATGACCGCAGCTAGGATTGTCTTTGCGGTCTTTGATATCTGTTGATCTCCACGTTCATAAACGCAACACTGAAACACTTGGATACTGCATGCAAAGAAGGCATGAAGTGAGAAGAGGACATCATTCAGTTGCACTGGGTTCACACCAAAGGGGTGCCTGTGGAAATATTGGTCTTGTATTGCTGCAGTCCAGTATAAACAAACATTAAATACACTGTACAGGAAGAATCCCACAATGTTCAATGACAAATAGTCAAAGTGAAGTCCAATCACACTCTTCCTTCGCCAGTTGCTATAAGTTTGTGGGTAGAAAGACACAGACCAGGCCGTGAAGTAAATCCACCCGACCACATCGCTGAAGTAGTCCAGGTCTTCACTGTGTGATACAGACACTCGCACAAATGCATCCGACACATCAGTCATGTTTACTGGACTTGCATTAACTACCACAACTGTGTGTCCTACACTTGTGGCCTCCAAAACTAAACTGTATGATTCATTTTTTTCCCCAGGATTAAGAGTGATGTTAGGTATTTGCTTTAGTATGTCAACTTCAATGTGAAACATAAGTGTCACTTCTTTTTCATTATTGCCAGTGACCAAGAGACTCAAATTTTTAGTTTGATAATCAACAAATTTCAAATCATGAGTTTCAAATTTACAGGTGGAAGTGAGGTTGCTCTCACGAAGTAACGTGGATATGTGTAAACTGGACACAGGTGTCACTGCTTCTGAGGTCCCAGGTGACGCTAAAAGAGATGCAGCGATTAGTAGGAAATGTTGGGTGTAAATGCTGCGAGCTGGAGACGTGGATTCCATAGTGCCTGGGGATGTGTGATGTTCTTGGGCAACACTACTACTGACAACAGTAAACCACTGCTGCATATAGACATACTGATTAGTGAGTCATGAAGGTGTAGACAGCCACTCCCCCCACAAACAATCAGCTGACTTTACACCACTAATAATGTTGAAAAAGTTAAACGATGAGGGACGCTAAATCATTTATTAACTTTTCTATTTGTTTGCTTCAGGTGCAGATTATACACCCAATCTAAATATCTTTGGGTGGATTTTGGGAAATTAGATTTAAGTGGTTTGTGTTGTCTGAAAAATTAAGGAGTTACAGATTTCATTCGTGGTATAATCCTAACATTCATTATTTTGACACTCACGATCACGGGTTATCTTGTGTTGGTTAAAGTTATTAAGGGCTTAAGTAACAGGTATCATATTTGATATAAAAATCATTAACTATTATTAGCTTTAAATCTTGCCTTGATAAATATAACTGAATGAATTAAAACTATAATAGGGTTATTTTCGTTTGTTATTGAACAATATGAAAAATAACTAATGTAAAACGGGTATATCGACTTCAGCACAATACATTATTTTAATGTGTGATGGGAACGAGGTAGTCAGCTCGTTCAATGAACGAGGTATTCACAATATTTATTTTTATTTATTTTTATTTTGTTTTATCCTCTTCACCACTGATCGGCTCATTAGCCGCTTGGGCGATCGGTTACGTCTGTGTTATGCACTGTTTACATTTACCTTTATCCTCTTCACCACTGATCGGCTTGTTAGCCGCTTGGGCGATCGATCACGTCTCTGATTACTTTTCCTTTTTTTTTAATCCTCTTCACCAAATGATCGGCTCATTAGCCGCTTGAGTGATCGGTCACGTCTCTGTTACTCACTGTTGGCAAGTACTGGGCATGCACCGGCTCCTGAATGTACCTGAACCTGCTCCAGTGTTGGGCAAGTCTTGTCTTGAAAGAGTTCACACTCGGTGCCGTCACAACACTTTCTGGTAGATTGTAACAAGAGTTCACAACTCTCACTCCGAAAAAGTTTGCCCTCACAGTTTTCTGGACTTGCGGCTTCTTCAATCTTGAGCTGTGAGTCTGTGACCCCTTGTGGAGCGAGCATCCGCCAGCTCCAAGTAAGGACTCTCGACTGAGTAGTGCCCCTTGAGATGCTTATACACCTCAATTAGATCACCCCTTGCTCGTCTGTAGTATAAGCGAGGCAAGTTCAGGTATACTGCCCGATTCTGGGGTCACTAATTCTAAGGGGATAACTTTGTAGGGTATGGGATGTTTGGTTCACACTCAGGATGGAATGGAGAAAGGAAACTCACAATGTGCTCTCATGTATACATGTGGTATTGGATGTACAATGCAGCTTGGTGCTGGGAAGACAGCATGGTTACAAGCGTGATGTAGAGAGAGCTGGTTGGTGAGGGTGCTCAGAGGAGGACAGCGTGTGGGTCGCCATGCTCGCCGGCGGGAGCGAGGACCGCCAGGCAGCGGCGGAGGAGGTGGTGTTGCTGGCTGGTTGGTGTAGATAGAAAGAGAGAGATCACCACGAGGTCAGGTTTTAGATAGCAGGGGTAGGCGTGGCTTAGTAGTTGACCTCGGTGATGTATGGCGGCGCTGGGGAATTCACGGGTCCGACTGCGCGATAGCTGATCTTCCCTCTATGATACACCCTACTGGAGGTAATGTTGATGGTCAAGTGTACTGGTCATTATACTTTATTTGTTATTATCATAGAAATCTGTACCTCCTCAAGTATTTGCGTTGTTGTACAGTATATTGACCTAACGAAGAAAGATTATTATTATATATTATTATTATTATTATTATTATTATTATTATTATTATTATTATTATATATTATTATTATTATTATTATTATTATTATTATTATTATTCAATGTCACTTCATCAGCTAAACCATTATACACTACATAATGCTAATACACCACCGAGTACCGTTACATCATACCGTTTGATTGGTGATGTAGTCCACGTGTTGACTTTCCGCTCACAAGATCAAGTGTCTCAATAGAATAACTCTCTAGGCTATAATTTCTCACATTCTGTCCAGACTTGTCCCGAAGTTGAAACACGATTTTTAGTGCTAACCAAAGCCGCCTGTCTCCCTCCTCTCCTCCTTCTTCTTCTTCTTTCTTTTCTTCTTTTTTATTTTCTTTTCTTCTACTTTTCTTCTTGTTGTTCTTCTTGTCTATTACCTCTGCTATCTCTGAGAATTTCCCAGTTTGTCCATTTCAAGGTGTGGAATATCTATCTCTTGTATGATATGGACACGAAGGTAGTACTGTTGTTGTGTATTATTATATTACTCTTTATATTACTCTTATTAATTATGTATAGTAAAGTATTACAGAACATATATTAATTCTATCTAATATCTCCATTTATTGTGCACCATGTTATGTATTTAAATTATCATATTTACATTGTATGTATTCCGCTTGTGAATGCTGGCATCTGTACATGCAGCGAGCAGTAATATAGAGAGAGACTGCCAGTCCTTGTGGTGCGGAAGTGAGCTTCTTGGTCCCTTTGTATACATCTCCCATACGAGAATAAGAACCTACTTTTAAGAGAACAAGTGTTTGTGTATACCTTCAGTAGTATAGAACATTTTGGGGTATTCAAGACGAACACAGATGGCAGTGATTATTTCAGTTAGATACAGTGAAGCCTTCCGCCCAGACTGTGTTAATGGCGTCTCGCCAGCTTCACCGTTTACAGCAAGACTACTACAAGCCTCTAGACTTACAGTGTTATGAAGTGCTATGCTGTGTACAGTGCTGTGCTGTGAAGTGTTTTGTGAAGTGTTGTGTTGTGTATTTTAATCATAATTGTCTGTGCAAAGTGCGGTCAGATGACTAAGGGAGGCGCCCGACAGTACGTGCTTCCCGTCTCTGGTCTGAGGGTAACTGAGGAACCAGCGCCGACGCTGCCCAGTTGCTCCTACGTCTGGCAGTGCGACGAGTCTTCCGGCCGCCAGACACACACACACACGCATTTCACAGAATCACCTTATATTAAATTCTTGTGACTTACTGTAGACTTCTGTAATTCTGTGTATAGATTACGAGGGCTGACCCTTTTTTGCACAGATAGAGTACAGAAGCTGTCGGCATGTCTCACAGGGATCAAAACGATACCCTGGACGATGGGATTATGAGTTTTACTGTGTTAGACCTCTCCCACCCACGTCAGCCCCACTCTCCCCACAGTGACAACGCCAAGTCACCCACAATCTCCCTGCTTCACAGTGAAAGCACTCCCACGATGCATGCGCCCACAGATCTCCTTCAACTGATTAAGTGGATGGAAACTTCTCACGCCAGGACGATATTGCAAGGAGAAATGAGGAAGAAATTGATACAAAGAGTCTGAAAAGACGGGCCAAAGAGAACAAACACGAGAGAACTCGAAGACATACGAGAAGTGAGGATGACCTGAGAAGAAGGGAAGATCAAGCCAGATTTGAAGTCTTGATTTCTCTGTTAGCCTCCCCACAACGATCTACCGCAAGATTCGTATGCTATTACTAATGCTCATACACTAGTGGTACTCAGACTCATTTCCCAGAGTCGGATCAACAATCCTCAAAGGCTGCAACACTAGGGTGTGCATAGGAGGGAAGATCAGCTAAAACTAATGGCCCATCACTTTTTTGGTAGATTTTAGTGTATATAAACAGAAAATAATTTCAGTTTCAATATTTTGCAACCTTTTGCTAGGTAAATTTTAGCGTGAAATTTATCGAAAATCTAACGTACAGCTGCATTAGTGCATTACAATTAAATAGTGAACATTGCTTTCTGACTTCATTCTTTAACAACCCAACTAACAATATTTTTTTCTGTTTCAGATTCTGATGCATTTATAAGTTGATAATATTTGC